GGTGTACAGTGTGTGAAATGATGAAAACTAAACATTAAACACTTACAAGGTGAGGTACTGAGTCTCCAAACTTTGTATGGTACTGATTGACAAAACACTTGACGAGCCAGTAGCAGTCAACAGGATCATCTACAATCTCTTCCATGGCTCGGCTGATGGAGAGGAAGTCTTCATTCTCTTCATCCTGGTGAAGAAGAAAAAAAAACAAAAGAAAACATATCAACAATACAGACCCAGAGAAAAACACTTAAAATAAAATCTGTACTTTTTATGTGGTCATTGTTTCTTAACGATCAAACAGCTATACAACAACACTTTCATTGAATAGAACAGAATCTTTATTGTCACTGTTACAAGAACAATGAAACACAGTTTGGCATCTCTCCGTTGGCAGCATGTAGATTTACATTCAGTTTGTTTAAGGACAGGAGAAGAAGATAAAAATAGGCATAGGTTTTAGGGGTATCTACTCAGGGAATGTGTGTGACACACAATGTGTGTAATACTATTGACAATGCCTTGGTTAGTATCATTATTTTCAATCTCACATGTCTGAATTTACAGCTATTTTTTCATTGACATACTGTATTAACACAGCTGATCTAAAAATCACACACAAAAAAACTCCCCATAAAAACCTAGTCGGAAAAAGTTACCAGAGGGGATAAATTCAGTTTTAGAATTTAGATTCAATGTTAACTGTAGCTAAGTTCAAATTGTTAATGCTAGCTTATTTTAATCAACAGCATTGTCATAAGCAAAACTAGGGTGGCAAAAGATTATTTTAGGGTGGCACATACCACACCATGCCACCCCTGTAGATTGGCCCTGTTCACTGCAAAACCAAGACGCCGCGTGTTAACATCTCCCCACACACCCAAACAAAAAAAACAAAAAAAAACAAACAGTTAAATAAACCATCTGTGATACCTGTGACTGTTCTTGGGCAGTTGTTTTAGTCACTATCCAGACTTTTGTTTCTGTAGTTTGATATCATCACATTTTTTTATTTTCCAATTTTTAGATGTTATAAGCATGACATTATAATTTCAATTGCTTATTTTGTCTTGTGAATTCTTGCTTGATGTACTTTTTGTTGCTATGATCTTTTGTTTGATCTTGAACTCTGCTGCTCAACCCACAAATGCATTTTCTTTACAAATGTGGCACCATTTAAGGGGAAACAAACAGGCTTTCGAACAGTGTGAGAATTATTTCTTCACTGTTACAAGAAAGAAATATGTGACAAAACACAAATTTACATCCTTTTCGCTTATTATGGACTGATATACTTTATTTTACCGGGGGTGAAGTCTCAGAGCATCGCGGGAGGGTCTGGCTCTCCAGTTGGAACATCCGCAAGTAAACATGGGTGGAGGGTGTGGAGGAGTTGATGTATCTCATCACTTCCAGAGCTTCCAGGATATCCTGATACTGCTCCTTCCTGTAGCCCCCAACCAGAGCATGAGAGTCACTGTGTGGAGGTAGGATGCCTGCAGGCACAGATGACTTCTAGTTAAGAAATGTATACATACACATTTAACAAAACTGAGTTAATTTTAAAAAAGGAGTGCAGTGTTCAGTTGTGTTGGACAGATTAACCTATTTAGCATAAATAAGTTCCAAACAAGAGAAATCGAAGTAAACGAAACATGTGTTTACATGCAGCTCTTAGCCTTGCATATGGCTGCATATGTCTATACTGCAAATCACAATTACTGAAAATGAATATTTTAAATATAGCTTTTAAAAAAAATCTTTAAAGACTAGTGCAGTACAATAGCTAAGTGATTCTCTCCCGTATTTTTTGTTTCTACCCATCTAGTCAAATCTGCACAACTGAAGAGGGTGACAGGGTGAACACCTGATCGCATGTGATTCTTACCCAGCAGTACCTTCCACACATGAATCCTGTACATGGAAGGAAGGGGGAACCTCTGACTGAAGGTGCTTAGCTTTTCTAAATCTGTAAGAGAGCAAAACATTTATTTATTTTTTTGGTCTGGCTTTTTCCAGACCAAAAAAAAAAAACATGAAAAATGTGTGATTGTACATGCATATGTGTGCATGTGTGTGTGTGTGTGTTCCGTGTTCAGCCAAGAGAAAGTGTCCCTTCAGTCAGTTAGGCAAAAGTCAGCAATCTTAGGTCGACACAGGTGGTCTTGAATGAGGGGGGAGGCAGTCACAACACAGTCTTGTTATCTAAGGGAGAATTTTTTTATTTCCATCAGCTTTTGCCTTGAGCATCCAGCTGGCGCCAGGGGGGGCCGCATGAGATAAAGATGGTAGTTGTTTTGGTTAGCGGAACAAACAGCTTCCAATTTTACAACCAGCCTTGTGGGATTTTGAACAGCTGTAGCCGCTTCTTGTTCTTCAATAAGCCAGGCCCGAGCCAGCTCCAATCAGCCAGAACTCTGCTATTGTGGTTCCAAATTGGTAATGTCGTTCAATGTCCTCCATCGAGAGTGTCATCAGACACATGATGCAACCAACCATCGAGTACCCGGCAGCAAACGTCTCCACAGGACAATTGGGCTCTCCCAGGCCCAGGAGTTGTCAGTTTCGTTAAGGGACCAAATCCATAATTCTTCTTTAGGTTTTTAGAGAACAAGTCTGGGAGACTCTCTTAGGGTTAGAGAATAAGCGAGACTATACAAAAGACACGAGAAGCCAAGCTGGAAAGATAAGGGAGAGGGAGAAGGAGAAAGATGTACTCCATTTTACAGTGTATGACTCAGGAAAACAATCCTGCTCAGTTATTCATTCAAGTTTGAGATCTGTGGCAGTAAAAGAGGAAAATGTTAACACTGGAATGTTTTTCCTCCTTGGAAACCTGCAACATGACCAAGAAGGTGCCCTTCATTTAAACGTTCCTCAGTTGTTAGTAAGGGACCCAAAGTGTGCGAAGAACATATATCTCAAGCCATTACACACCATCAACACCAGCCTGAGCCACTGACACATGGCAAGATGCATGCTTTCATGTTATGTGCACCATATTTTAACCATTCATCCGTCTACCATTTGAATGCTGCAGCAGAAATCAAGACTTATCAGATCAGACAATGTTTTCTACTGTTCAATTCCAATCAGCCCATGACGATTAGAGTCTCCGTTTTCTGTTATCAATTGACAGGAGTGGCACCTTCTGCTGCTGAAGCCAATCTGCTCCTAAGTTTTACATGCCGTGCATTCATATTGGCACTTCTGCATAACTAGTTCCAATGGGTGGTTCTTTAAGCTACTGTTGCCTCCCTATCAGCTCAAGCAGCCTGGCAATCCTCCTCTGACTTCTGCCATCAACAAGGCATTTTCACCAAGAGAACTGCTGCACAGTGCATATTTTCTCTGCAAACCCCTGAGTGGCCTGTGCCACTCCGATGGTGACAAATCAGATGATGCAAACAACCATGCCGCATTCAAAAATCACTTAAACCACCTTTCTTCATTTTGCAAGACTCAGTTTGAACTTCGGCAGGTAATCTTGATTATGTTTACATGCCTAAATGCATTCAGTTGCTATCACGTGATTGGCTGATGAGATATTTGCGGTAATGAGTAGCTGAACAGTTGTCTTTAATAAAGTGTTCGTAAGATTATATTATAGCATAGCATTGGCTTACAGGTATATTGTTATTGTCAGTAGTGTAGTGCGGACGCTTAGCTAGCAAGAGACTTTACACTTATGCTGCCTATGCTAGCACGAGCGATAATTTTCCGTTACCCACCCAGAGGATTGTCTTTGAGTAGTATTTCCAGGGACTTCTTCTCCTCCACTCCTCTGAAACCCACTTTCTCGTAGTATGCAGAGCGAAAATTTCTCTGTGGGTCGTCAGCCATGGTGCCGCCTGGACAGTTAAACATGTGCATTTCAAACTAAAGAAAAGCAAACTTTTAAAAGCAAAGTATTAGTCCGTTTTAGCCTGCATAGACATAAGACAAAGTTTCTCGTCCAGACGTGCAGCTTGGGGGAAAACAGAAAAATGTTTTTAATTTGGCTGACTAAAAAAGTTAATTACGACGCCCTGCAGTTTGCTGGAACACAAACACAGTGAACACAAAGACTCCTGCCTTGACGTTTCAAAGCGTTTCGTGCTCCCTCGACCCTCAGACAGCTGCCCCACAGCTATTTGCTACATAACGTCAGCAAACAAGCTAGTGTTAGCTTAGGAACAGATAACCAGCTAAAAGCATAACTACTCTAAAGTAAAAATTATCTGAGAGACTACTAAATAGTATTAAAGTGGCCATCACAACCAGTGATAAGAACAATTTAAACAGATAAAAAAATCTACAGATAAATTGACAACCTCCTCCGGATGCCATACAATGTTGTTATGAAAACCCTTCCGGGTGATACTGTCAAAATAAAATCCGTAGCAACGTTCCAAATATGAAAAATATTTTTATTTTGAAAATATAGATTACCATGCTACACCTCATATACGATTGCACTTTCAACTCTGCTTGCCTTGCATTTCTTGATCTTTATCTTGCAGGTTATTTATACTACATTATTTATAAACAAATAACTAATAAAGAAAAATCAACAAGCTTCTTTCTTTAAGGGAAAGGTGTGTCACAGCTTTCATAACCCACTTAGAATACTATTTAGATTTAGATTGCTACTTTTTAGACTTCCTATATTCATTTTATTTTATTGAACTTTGAACTGTTATTGAACTGTTATTGCCTGTGTTAACTGTTTGGGTGCTCTAACACCAGTTGTTCAATTTTATTTCTTTCAAATCAAACCTTAATCTGAAAAATGCATTTGATTACTTGTGATAATGCCAAGGCTGAAGCAATAAAATACAAATATCTCTATTTTTTAATCTTTCATTTAGCATTTTATATAGATGAAATTACCACAGCACAAATGTATTGTGCTGCAAATTGAAAATCAAACAAAAATAAAAAACAAATAAAATGAACAAACATATCTTACATGGCAGCAACAAAGGGTATTTTAGATGAACACAAATAAGAACAGTCAGGAATGAGCAAAAAACTCAAGTTTTTATTTTAAGATACTGGAAAAAAAAAACGTTACAAAAGTGGAAGCACTACTATGCAAGAAACCAATGAATGAATAAAAGATGACTTTATGAAAATGATGAAAAACAGCAGTTAAGCCAATGCAACCCAACTATAAATCCCTCCCTGTAAACCAAACACACAACATGTCAAATAACTGTAAACACTATTCTATCATTTTTCAAATGCAAAGCATACAAAGTGATATTTTCATTAATTTTTGAAAAACAAATTAAATGACATGAACTATATTATTAATCCACACACCTTATTTTAGAAACCATTAATACTTTTGTCCATTAAAAAACAAACAAACAAACAAACATCTTGCAGTTTTTCTGTATAATTTGAACTATAGATTTTTAAGCACATCAACACCAAAGCTTACTCTAAAAATATGCGAACATTTAACAATTCAGACTGCTAAATATAAATTTTCTCCTCACACAGAACACTAATTTTTTCCACAACTTTTTTTCCAAAACACTAAAAATAGTTTTGACAAATTCTGATTTGTGTGCAAGAAAAGCACAAACTGCTTTTCTTTTATCAATTTAGCTTTTGGTTTGGAAGGAGTTGAAGCTGGAAATACTGTAGCGACTGACTGATGAGGATATGGGAGAGCCTAAGTCTAAACTGTTCCTGCGGGAGCTTCGTCGTGAGCCACTCCGGGAGCCTGTGGTGGATCCTGGGGCAGAGGCAACATTGTATGGACTACTGATGCCTCTCGAAGACACAGATGACGCCTGGAGCATTTTAACGCCAGTGCTTTCCTCTGTCAGGCAGTTATCCAGAGCCTCTTTGTAAGAGATTTTAAGTTTACTTTTGGGGCATGTTAGGTTCTTTGTGTGGTATTTCGTATCTTGGAGCTTCTGGCCTGCTCTCCCATCCAGCCAACCCATTTTCAAGGCATCTTCTATGGTTCTTCTACCACCCATTTCTGGGTCATACAGACCTCCTGTTACAACTTGGAACTCCATGAATCTCTGTCCTGCTTCATATGGCAGCCACATCTCCTTAACTGCCTCAGGAACTGACATTTTTCTCTTCATTTTTACATCTTCAAAGCCAATATAGGCTTTTTGAGCAGCCTTAAGTTTAGTGGCCATGTCTTCAGTTATTATGCCCATACGACATGCCTCTTGGATGCTGACCCTTCTGCCACTTGCAGGATCAACAATTCCTCCAGTGCACGCCTGGGCCTCAAGCAGTCTCTGGGTAGTGATGGAATCCACTAGATCACGATTTAACGCCTCTGTGACAGATATCTTCTCTACGTTGTCTGTGTCAAAAATGGCACCAATAGGTTCTTGTTCACCCACTATTTCAACAGGAGAGGACAGAGTGAAAGATACACTGGACATGTGTTTATGGAAATCAGGTGAATCTTGCGAAACACTGCTGGCGCTTCTCTCTGTGACAGTGGTCGTCTTTGTTGTGGTCATTTTAGCGAGAGTGGGAGATAAGGGTCTTGACACCAGTGAGGATGATCGTGAGGATGATGTCGACAAAGAGGGAACTGAGCCTTCTGATGTTCTTAAATTTGATGATGAAGATGTTTTTGTAGTTGTTGATGATGATGTTACTGAAGATATTCCCAAAGGTGTTCTTGAAGTTGTTGATGATGATGATTTCACTGAAGATGTGCCCAAGGCAGCTGGTTGTCCAAACGATGAGCTATGTTTGGTCTTTCTGGTGATGATATCAGCGAATTCATTAATGGTGATGGCTCGTGCACGATACTGAGCTACAACTGATTCATCAATTAATCGCTTTTCAAGCAGTTCTGTAATGTCATACTGTCTTCCAGTTTTCTTGTCATTAATAAGAAACTTTACAGAACCATCTGGAGCAGTAATGGTGACCTCTTCCCATTCACACTCTTGGTCGGACAGCTCCAAGAAGGTCTCGTAGTCAATAAGCCCTTTGTCATATGCTTCTCGGACTGTCATCTCTTTATTGGTGTCTGGGTCCACGATCAATACTCTCCTCTTCCTCAGAGTGTTCTTCTGTGTTGACTCTTGACTTTTCTTGTCGATTATAGGCAAAAGCATGAGGCCGGTCTTCTTATCTGGGATACACCGGTTCTTAAGCTCTGTGTAGGTTAGGTTTTCTTCCGTATTAGGGTCAAAGAAACCTTTAGTATCAGCATTCTGATCAGAGAGGATCTTAATCATTCCGTCATCCAGGTAGCCTCTTTTGTAGGCTACATTCACATCAATACGATGACTGTGTTCTGGATCAATGATACCACCACTGGCAATTTGGGCCTCTAGTAGACGAATGCCATGGCCTTTCTCCACTAGACCTTTCTCAATGGCCTGAAAGAGAGAGATAGTCTTGTCTGTACCAGGCAGTCTGTAACCAGTCACAGCCCTTTCTGCCGCTAGCAGGTTATCTTTAAACTCTGGCCCAAACAGTCTTCTATTGTAGGCTTCACTAACAGTTAGATAGAGATTGTTCACAGGATCAACTATAAAACCTGAGGCAGCCTGAGCTTCAAGCAGTTCAAGAGTGGTCCCAGATTTCAACAGTCCATCTTTCATTGCCTGATAAATTGTCAGTACTTTATCACTGGCCTGATCATAAACTCCTGCTATGCAGGTGGAACCTCTCAGATAGGAGCGTAGACGCTCTTCAACCTCTTGGCTAGTCAATCTACCTTGATTCAACTTGTCAATATCAGACCGCTGCAGCAAGTTTGCATCCACTAGATCCACAACAGACACCTGGCCCCTAAGCCCCTGGACAGTTGCTGGCTTTTTAGGTTCAGGGAGAAGCAAAAGACCTGTGCTTGGATCAGCTTTACATTTTTTCTTCAGGGATACATAAGGAGTTCCTTGCTTGGTGTCTGGGTCCAGATAACAGTCAGGACCCTGACTCAAGGCATGGTATAGATCCTGATCTATGAGATTCCTATTTAGTGCAATGTTTTTGGGTAGGAATATACTGAGGTCAGGGTCCAATATACCCCCTACAGACTCTTGAGCTTGAAGCACACGCAGAGCTGTGTCCTTGTCAATTAATCCCTTCTTCATGGCCTGGCCAGCTGACAGAAGTTTGCCAGTAGTAAGGTCTTTGTAGCCTATAGCAGCAGCTTCCGCTGCAAACAATTTTGATTCATCCTCTTTATCCACTACTCCTCTGGCACATGCTTCTTTGACTGTTAGTTTCTGGTTAGTTCTGGGGTCAATGATGTGACCTGTGGCAGCCTGAGCTTCCAGTAGCATGTCAGCACTATCAGATGACAGAATTTTCATTTTCTTTGCCTCTGTAAAGGACATTTTCCTTGAAGGCCCAACTGCCACACCAGCAATGGATCCAGTCCCTTTTAGAAAGACTTTCTTATCCACAGAGACTTCTGGGACTGTTTTCTTTCCCTTCAGTAGTTGGTCAAACGTTGATTTGTCCAGGACCCCACAATCAAGCAACTGCTGTGCTGAGACTGGTTTGCGAACACCATCAAACATTAGTTTGGAAGGGTCCTTCCTCTCGGTGACTGGTAAAAGTATCAGGCCTGTGTGAGGCTCTGATTTGCATCTTCTCTTTAAAGCCCCATAGCTG